ACCGATAGTGGTAATGTGGTTAGCCAAACACACTAGTACGTGATTTGGGAAAAGGGGGCCATGATGGCATGTTTTGTCAATAGCATGATGACACGCGGTAACTTTGGCAAAGTCTTCATCCATATACACTCTCTCGTTCCCATTGTTTCCCCCAAATGCAATGCCCACGGGCTTTGGATGTGGCTCATAAACTCTACCAGTAGGATGCAAGTGGCTGTAAACAAAGTTTTTCTCCTTCCCTGCCAATGGTTTTACAATTGGCCATTGAGGTCTCAAAATGGAAGCATTTTTCATGAATTTCAATTGGGTCTATCAACTTTCACAAAAGAAATAACTAAAGAGAATTTGCGACTCTCTCTCCCCTCAATCATTTAAATAACATACCAGAAGGTGAGAACACATGAAAGACTGGACATATAGCATATAAGGTTCCAGAGTTTCCGTAGAACATATCCCTGTTTTCAAAACCCTGGTGCGTGAGTGCACATATGGTCCATTTCCTAATATTGGTGCTATCTTCTTGTGCATCTCCAGTAGCAGAAATTAGAAGGAGCAACGAACCAAGATAACCTTTAATGTTTGACCAAAATCTGTTCAAGCCCTTCCCATGGAGACATGACCTAAAAGCCTTTGGAAAACAAATGCTGAGTGAAATTTGATACAGTAGCAAGCAAATTAATAACTAAAACTGACTTGAAACACTGAAAGAAAGTAGGGAGGGGAGAGAATGGGTTGGTGGTAGCAACTGAAGCATTACGAGCAATTTTACTGGTCTTAAATTTATTTGGGGCATCGGCAGGATAAGCAGCATAAAATAAAGGCAATTAGGTCTAAAATAGATCAGAAGGGAAGATGACAAACCGATAGAGAAGATTTTCATCTTTAGCATCACTGTCACTAGGAAAGTACGGTTTCAAAATTTCTTCACTTATTGTACCCCTGATAGTAAGGGAAATTCCCCACGCTCTTCCACAGGTTAGAAGGTAGGAGCTGCACGCCTTTTCTGGAGAGATTTCTCTTGATGATGAGTTTGAAGATTCCAGCACATCTTGCTGTTGATTGAGAAGGAAAATCATATCACATATGAACTCTCATAACCAGTCATAAACTTTGAAGTCAAATGGGATAGAGCTAGTAAAATGTCATATGAGCAGAAAGCAAGATCAAGTTGCTTGTTTATAATCTAAGCAGGAAAAAAATCGTAAGTGGCTGGCGAACCCCTTAATCTTTAAATACATCAAAGCAAACAAATTTGTGATTTGGTTAACACTACATGCCTCTGAACTAGCGACGTTTTGCAGTCTTGCATTGACAAATTGTGTAAAACACTCCATGAGGTTAGGCACTGTTGTCAACATCCTTGTAAGAAACTTTCCTGCAGGAAGCCGTACATCTAAACTTGAAATATCACAATCCCACATTTCCAATCCACTGCCACCTTCAGCACAAGAAACAACTACTAATAACACCAAAGGACCAGTATCCGGAAGATATAGATACTCTCTCTCCTTCAAAACTCTCCAAGTTCTTGAATTCCACAGCATAGTCCAACTCGTCCAAAGAAACATAAGCACATCAATAGGTAACAGCGACCCACTTACCTTATAATCACCATCATCAATAGCTTCAAACTCCAGTTTCAAAGGAATTCCTGCTTTCACTCCCGTTGCAGCAAACAGTCTCAACAATGTCTTAAGTAATGCTGAGACAGGCATCCTCTCACAGCATTTCAAATAACCTCTTACAAACTCAACCCAATTGACCCCTCCTTTATCAGTAACAAAAAAAAAGGATCTGCCATTGATGGACCCAAGTGATCCAATAATCCCAAAAGGCAATCAGGAATTTGAAGTGCTTCACATTCTGAGTTTTTATAATTCAAAGAGAAGCATTTCTGCAACAAATTAAAATTACATGACTATCCAAAAATGATTGGGCAATACAGGGGAAAAAAACACAGCTTTTAGAGAGAAAAGCTGGGTTCCTTATCAAGATAATTTAGAACCCATAATTTATTCTTGGTGGTTTTTTAAGTACCTGTAGAGATTGAAGAGGGATTGCATTTGTTTGTGGATCGGCAAGCTTAGAGAAAGCATTTTGAAGCAAGGAGATTGATCCGGTAGAAGCTACTAGACTTTCCACTTCCCTTTGTTCACGTGATACGTTCTGCTCCGTAGAAGACGATGCTCCCATTCTGGCAGCAAGCAACAACTGAGATTTTGTTTCTCTGAAGTGAAAATACGAGTGGGTTTTCTTCTCTTTCCGTTTGGTTGTCTAGAAAAACTGAGTGACAGTCCTTCTCGATTTCTGGTTTTTTAGCGGCGAGCAAAAGCATCCATATCATCTGTTTGCTGCTTGCCACGTCGCGTGTGAATCACCCTCCAAGTCACAAATAATTTCCTAATTGTATTTACGTTTTAAAAAAAAAAATTCATTTTTTAATTTAAATTAATATTTTTTTATATTTTTTTCATTTTTTAATTTAAATTAATATTTTTATTAATGACTAGTGACATTTTTCATATTACTTTAATATATTAATTTTAAAAATATTTTTAAAAAAATAATAAAAATATTATTTTAATATATTTTAAAATAAAAATATTTTAAAAAATAATTATAATCATATTTTCAAACACCTTCTAATACTATTTAAAGCAACCACATTACCTTTATATATATATATATAAATAAAAGCTTTTAAATAAAAATAAAAAACATTATGTATAAATATAATAAATTAAATTAAAAATTATGTTTGTTAATAAATTTTAAAAATAAAAATATATCTAAAAATAAAAATAACAAAATCAAGATATTCAATCTCGCGAAAAAAATATTTACTTAATTGTGTTTGCTAAATTATGTTAATTAAAATATATTTTTTATTTATTAAAATAATAATATAAATAGCGCACACATTAAATTTTTTGAATTAGATAAAAAATATTATGCAAAACTACACATATAATAAATATTATCTAAAAATAAATATTTTTTTTGTTTTCAAAAATAAAATTCATCTATATAAAAGTTTTCAAACATAAAGTTCATCTATATAAAAAATAAATAAATATAGATAAATCATAAAAATCACCTCAAAAATTAAACACAAGTGAAATAATCTTATAAAGATATCTATAAAAAATGATTAAATAAACAATAAAAACATCACAAATTTGCAATATTAATTGGAGCATAAATTTAAAAATTATTAAAAAATATTAATAAAAATAAAAAACAATAATAACTTAGGTGTCGTGGGCATAAACAAGTTAAATAATCTTTTATCATAAATTTATATTTATATTATATTAAAAAAAAGTCAAAATAAAACCTAAGTGCAAGGGTTTAGTTCCTTTTTTTGTTTATATTTGAAAGGAACATATAATCTATTATTTATCTTTATTTTTCTAAAAGAAATATGTGGGTGATACATTGCATGCAACCCAGTGTTTGGGCACCATAATCGTGGCTGAAAAGTTAAGATAATGTTTTTTTTTAGCAAAAAAATATAATTTTTAAGTCATTTCAGCCCAAAAAAAATACTTTGTTAATACTTTTAAAACATCCATAAGCCAATATATCAACTTAAAACATCAAAAAAATAGTTCAAAAACTCAAAATTAAACCGATTTATATTTATCTTTTTTGATATATAACTATTTTTTCAAGAAGTGTTGGATTACCATACTATCATTATTATACATTTCTAGTCTTACGGAACTCATGGAAAAAAAAATCTATTTTTGTGGTTGAAAATGGCTTGAATGGTGGTTTTCTTTTGCATGAGTAATCCCTCCCTTTCTATTCTCTCTAATTAGGAACTTAAAATAATATAAATAATTTTTTATATCAAAAATAATTTTTTAAAATTTAAAGGAATCTAAATTGTATAATTTGTGTTATTTTGAAAGTTTGAGGACATAAATATGTTTTTTAAAAAAACAATTATGACACACCACCTATGTTTTGCATCTTTATTGTTATGATCCCTTTTGTTTTAATTCCACGATCAACTAAAAAATATGAAGTAATTAGCTTTCAAATTAAGATTAAATCACTTAAAGGGCTAGGATAAATTACTAAAAAAAAAGACACAAGAGGTTTACAATGTGTTATAAGTGTGTAAACAATTCTAGCTACAGAGAAACCACTAAGTTTTAGTTTTATACTTAGTTGTTGGGTTTTGGTTAATGAGTGTTTCCGGATTAATTTTTAATATTTTATAAGTTATAAACCTAACTATTTATTTTTGTTTTAAACCCGAGTAAGTTTGATGTATTGGACTAGACTAATTTTTTTTATTGACATTATGAATATCTACATGTTGAGCTTATATTACTAATTTTAATGGATTTGCATTTGGAGATAGATCTTCGATGTTATGTCTAACTTTCATATATTGCACCATCATTAAATTATAATTAGCTATTATCTTCTCTCTAATAAAAAGAAAATCTCTTTTTTACTATGTTAAAAAAAAATAATATGAAGCTATAAAAACTTCATTTTCTTTATTTTTCAGTCTATGAATCAAGAGAAAATATAAAAAGTTGTTCGATTTTGACTATAGAGAGAGAAAATCCTAGCCACCAAAGCAATCAATCTTAGTGTTAACAAATTTCACTTATAAAGATAGTTTTACTTGAGTGTTTTTTCATCTTTAAAATGCTTAAAAAGAGATATTGGCTCAAAAATATATTTTTTTTTATTTCATGCTGCTTTGGAGTTTTTCTGACAATTTTTTAGGTCGTGAATGAATTTATCACATTTCAAGGGTGTCCTCTATATATTTTCAAGTAAAACATTGATTGATAAATAAGTTTTTAAAAGAGAAAAACCTTTTCTAGTTTTCCAATTATCATAGTAGCAAGAATCTAAAGAAAAACAAAAAATATATCATTTGTCAAAGTAGGTGACTTGTTGTCTCAAAATAAAGGGATTGTTTACCCCTTGAAAAAACTATTATCCTAAGCATGTGGGTGGGCCACCTAAGGTTGGCAACCCGACCCGTGAAAAAGCGACTCGAGAGGAAGATTTGGATACTGGGATCGCGCGGAAGAAAAAATCAGAAGCGACAAGTCCACCTTCTACTTAGCTTCACCGGAGTTCTGATCTAGGGTTTTCTCGAAAGGCTTTGTCGATCAGATCTCCAACTAATCAAATGACTCCAGCTCCAGGTCCTTTCTCCGGCTCCAGCACTCTCGCTCTGGTGAGCAAATCTCTCTCCACTCTCTTCCTTCCGATCGATTCCTGACCTTTAAAAAGTTGATTTATGCGTAGGTGGCGCGTGCATCGGCATTCAGTTTTGGCTTGGTTTATGGAAGTGTGAAGCTCAAGATTCTCAAGGTACTTAACTTGTTTAAGCTGTCTTGATTTTATTGATCATGTGCTAGGCAGATCTATTTCTGTTATCAGTTTTATTTTATACTTATCAATTTGATTAAGTTGTTTTCATGGAATAATAAATGAATAGATTTTATTCACTAACAAATCAATAAGCTAATTATGCGAAAATTTTGATTAAATTGGCCTTGATCTGGCAAATTTTGTTGTATGTAAGTTATCAACGTTTCGATTCAAATTTGATTCGTGATGACACTTGGATGCACAGCCGTTTTTGTTACATTCTGTCGATTTCGCTAAGATAATTCATGGTCTGAGGATTTGTTGGGAATGATTGTATTTGCTGAGAGAAAAAAAATTGATTTCTTTGACTATCAGATGAAAGTGAATTCGATTAACAATGCGGAAGCTAAGGCACATCACTGAGGAGATAGTGTTGAATGATGAAATAAATGACCATGGATCTGTCAAATGGTTGCCATTGGATAGGATTACTCGTATGCAAAAGATGACTCTTGATTTAGAGAATCTTGAGTTTTTTGAATTAATATTTTTATGAATCACGAGAATGGCTGCTGTTAATTTTCATTTCCGAGGAAGTGAGACATAGTTTTCTATGAATTGAACATGTAGAAGAACAATTGTTTTGCAGATTACTGGATTCATATACCATATCTCGAGGCTTTTTCAATCTTCTTTTTTAATACAGAACAGTTGTGCTTTGTGATTCCTACCTAGATAATTATTGTTCATTACCACGTCTTTAAGCAAGTATTTCAAAGAACTTGGCGTTTTCTGTTTCAAGGTTTTGTTCTACCAGTTGACGCACAAGTAAATGGCAGAAACAAGTTTTTTCGACAGCCCCCCCTTTTTAATGCTTTTTGGAAGGGCATGTATCACTCTTCCCTGTCTGTTTACAGTTGATCTATTTTGATCGCCTTTTTGTTCATAACCTATTCATTGCTAGATCAAGCGAGCTTTCATATTCATGAATCAGCATTTTCATAACCTATTCATTGCTAGATCAATCGAGCTTTCATATTCATGAATCAGCATTTTCAACTGAATCATCGCAGTGTCGGAGAAACAATTAGCTTGAGGTCTCTTAGAAATGTAAATGTTGTTTATTCACTATGGTTGTGATGCTCAGTGGTGCTGATCATTTATTTGTTTTCTTGTTTATCAGTAATCTAAACATATTTTGTGATTATTTCCTAGCCACATTATTCCATTCATGTTAAACATTTTTGTAAGCCTTGCATTGAGCAAAGTAGTTCCTTGACCTCTTCTTTTGTTTTTACTCGTTTTCTTCATGCATGTGGTAGGCACTGTCGAGCCTTTGTGTGTCTTCCCATGCATCTCAAAGACTCGAACACTGTCTCTATGTCACGTTTCTTTTGTGCATGACGTTCTTTTCTTACGTCCTCCTCTCCTGGAGACAAATTTGCAGCTTGGTTCTCTCTCTCGTCGATTTTTTTTCCCTTAAAATTCTTTGGGGCTTTTTGATTAATTTGTCACGTGCAACATCAATCACTATCCATGTTCGTGATGGGGAATTTATTATGTCATCTCGTTCGCTTTCTTCATCCTTCACCTAAAATTAGGGTTTCAAGCTTGACTCGACCTCCCTTTCTCGAGCAGTTTTGGAAATCCCAATGTTGATTGCGCTTTTTTCCTCCTTGATTTTGGGTTTGGCCCTTCAAGTTAAAATTAAGCAGGTCAGATGAATTCAGATTGGCAGTTTCTACCGTTTTAACTGCAGCGAGGTCGTTTACAAATGAAATTAGCTGGGGGTGACATGTCGTTCCAAGATGCACCACGCTAATACCTCGGCCCAATTGTTCGTCAATGGGAACTTGACTAGCCGTGTTCCCAAATTTCTGATTTTTTTTTAAAAATATTTTTATATGTTAAAAATATATTTTATTAAAATAAAAATATTATTAAAATATATTTTTAAATAAAAAATATTTTTAAAAATAATTATTACTATAACAGCAAACACTGCATGCATTTAACAAATTTAAAACATTTAACAACGCGATGTAAATCGTTTTTCTAAGAAGTTTAATTTCTAAAATTTTTAATTTTTTTTTTATATATTTTTAATTATTTTAATATATTAGTTTTTAAAATAATTTTTTTAAAATAAAAAATATTATTTTAATATATTTTAACATAAATTTTATAAAAAAATAACCACAAAAACATTTTAAAACATTTAATGTAAGAAATGGAGTGAGGTCGATGACCGTGACCATGGTACCATAACGTTCCTTTACCTAGGCTGTTCTACGGACTCTGATAAGCTCCTGAGCGAGAGCATTCCATCCCTTGTGTGAACACGTGGAGGGCCCAGATTGCCCAATGAAAAAAGGAATCTCTTTACAGATCCCGACCAGTTGTACTCCTTACCTTAATGCTTAGATCTAAACCATCTTTTGTCCCACTTAACTCTTATTTTTAGACCACTCCCACACCTTACCCCTCTTTTAACAATGCCATCTCTTAACATTTACCAAAGTAGAAAAAAATCAGCCAATGATATACAAGATGATTGCTTTTGTTTTTTTTTTAAATTACTGGATTTATTCAAATTAGATTAATTTTCCCTCATTAATTAAAGTCACCAACTGCAAATAGAGAACTAATTAAACACTTTTTTTAAACAATAAAGATAGATCTGTTTTTCACATCAGTACCCTGTTCAAATTTAGAAAGAAATGTTAAAAAGAATTCATGAATTCAAATGTCCTAAAATCTAAAATAAATAAAAAATTAAATTAATTTTGGCTCAGGGAAACTAGTCCAAAAATATTAAAAATATTGAGATCATTGATAAAAATCGTATTAGTGGCAGTTTTGCGTCGTATAGTTTCTGTTTTTAAATGGGTTATAATATTATTTTAATATATTTTTAATAAAAACATATTCACAGTTAACAAACATATAAAAGAATAACTGCAACCCACAACCTGCTCTCCGAAGCTGCTTTGTCCTGACTAATCAAGCACTAAAAAATCTCACAACTTGCTTCACTTCACAACATCTTTATCCAAGTACTTACACAGACACTCCCTCCCTCCCTCTCTCTCTTTCTGTGAAGAAGAGGCTAATATGGGATCAGTGTCGCTGAAAATAGGAGATGGAACAGCCAGATTCAAGAGAGCAAGTTTCTGTTCATCAGCAGTGAACATTCTCATGCTCTTCTCTGTACTAACCACTAATCTTTTTGCATTATATGCCTTCACATCTTCTCCAAAAGACCATCAAACTCACCTCTTTCACAATCCCCATAAAAATATATCTTTGATCTCTGAGCGTGTCTCTTTAATACTAAGAGAGATCGCTGCTTCTCAAAAAAAGCTTGCCGGGATGGAGAAAGAGCTTTTGGGCTATGAAACTATGGATATTTCAAGGCCCAATATTGCAAGTGAGCTCAAATTGTTCTTGCAACACCATCAACTCCCTCTTGGTAAGGATTCAAGAACTGGGATCACTGAGATGGTGGCTTCTGTGGGTCATTCTTGTGAGAAATCTGCAGACTTGTTGTCTCAGTATATGGCTTACAAGGTTTCTGGGCCCTGTCCTGGTGATTGGAGCCTTGGCCAGAAGTTGATTTTGCGTGGATGTGAGCCTTTGCCCAGAAGGAGATGCTTTGCAAAGTCTGTTCAAAAGGTGGGTCTTTATCGTTTTCCTGTTTCTCTTTGGAAACCTGTTAGTGAAAAGATTTTAACTTGGAGTGGTCTTGGTTGCAAGAATCTTGAGTGCTTGAATAGAAAGAAGTTGAGCAGGGATTGTGTTGGTTGCTTTAATATTACTAGTGGTTATGAGACTCAAAGGTTTGTTAAAGCTCGAGGCAAGAATGATTTTATCATTGATGATGTGTTAGCTTTAGCAAGTGGGGGAATTAGAATTGGATTTGATATTGGTGGTGGGTCTGGGACATTCGCTGCTAGGATGGCAGAGAGAAATGTGACTGTGATTACTAGTACTTTGAATGTGGATGCTCCATTTAGTGAATTTATTGCAGCAAGAGGGCTTTTCCCTTTGTATTTGAGTTTAGATCACAGGTTCCCTTTCTATGACAATGTTTTCGATTTAATTCATGCTTCTAGTGGATTGGATGGAGGGGACAAACCTGAAAAGTTAGAGTTCTTAATGTTTGATATCGATCGAATTCTGAGGGCTGGTGGATTGTTTTGGTTGGATAACTTCTACTGTGCAGATGATGAGAAGAAGACAGCTTTGACTCGGTTGATTGAGCGGTTTGGGTATAAGAAGTTGAAATGGGTTGTGGGAGAGAAGATAGACACAGCTGGGTCAGGGAAATCAGAAGTTTATTTGTCTGCCGTACTACAAAAGCCAGCAAGAGTGTGATGATTACTGGAGTTTTCACAGGAAACTGAAAGAGGTGAGAGTTTTGCTTCCATTTCTAGCTTTGTTCACACAGCATTTTGTGTGAGTTCATCGACTCAAACATTTTCTTAAATTCGTTTCAACATGCAATAAGTGCATCAATTATTACTTCTCTCAACTGTAAACCAGCATTAGGAGATGATGTTTGTGCTTCGTAATCTAGTAACTGGTTTATCTTTTACTGTATCTTAGGGGAGTTAACTATCCAAGCTAAAAGAATGTTAGGAAATGGAAAATTCATAGTGTATAATAACTATCCATCTTTAAAGTGCAAGTTCGTGATGTTTCTTTCCATTCACATTGCAGTTCCAAGTTTGAATTTGATAAGTATTCATCTTCATGGGTTATAATTGGGAAACTGTCTTAGGTAATGATAAGGGAGTGGCTTAACCGGTGGTTACAAGTCTTGACTTGCGTTCACCTAGTTTCTGGCTTGCTCTCTACCTTCTACCTTCTACTTTTCTCTTTAGCACACCGACTACTTGATATGTGAGTACCAGAGTTCATTTGGGAAGTCAAGAGCATATGAATGTAATAATGCTTGGAACTAGGAAGTACTAGTTCTAGGTTTTAGTTATAGGGAAACATGATAATCACTTTTAAGATACTGATTCGCAGGGAAGATTTTGGTATCCTTTCGCAAACGGATATTGACAATTTTCCAATTCATCTTTGTGGTAGTGGCATTGCATTCTTGTATGTGCACAAGCTGTTCCTTTCATTTCTGAGTTGTGTTTGGCTTTAGAGTTAAAGCGAGCCAAATGGTAAATTCTTTAACAATTAACCTCCCTTAGCCTCGTTTGATAATTTTGTAAGGAAAGAGGAGGTAGAAGTCACGGGGCTTAACTTGAACTTGACCTCTTATTCTCATGTGTTTCCAAATGAAAAACATAATTCATCTAGGAACGTCTGGTTGCTGCAACCTCGTTTCTAAAGAGGCCTTTATCCCGATCCAAATATTGGCGTTTCCCTCTTCTGGGTTGGGTACGATGGTTCGGCGCTTTTGGCCAATCCCTTGGATAAGTGCATATGTCCATTGCAGTTGAATATATAGCAATGGAATACAGGAACAGAATAAAAAACATGGCCCTGCAAGCTAACTATTCTAGGAAGACCATTAATTCTCAGGTGTCCTGTAATGAATGAAATTTACTAAATCATCTGTAAACCCTCTGGCTCCGAGTCTGGTGTCTCTTGGTAGAGGTTAAAAAGATGCTGTGTGGGTAGATGGCAGCTGGAGCTGGCTTTTCCATAAGGGGAGGGACGTAGGAGTTTTACTATATTTACTCCTTTTCACCGTCCATCACGAGTAATTTCAAACGTTGAGGTGATGAAATGCCCCAGAAGCAAGTCTCGGCTTATAATCAAATGCTGTATGATTCATTTCCTTGCGTTGCTTTAATTTTCTTCTGCCAATGTATGAATCGACGGTGGGACTTTTTAGAAATTTTGAAGCTCCTCCAACTTGATAATTTAATACCTTGTCCGCAAGATATTAACTACTACTGTCCTGTCAGGGGAAATACCTCGATTTCCGACAGGTTCGGCAGTCCTAGGCCCACCTAATAGCCTATTGTTAGCTTAAAATGGTAGCTCAAAAACAATAAATAGCCTATTTATTTAGCTCAAAATAAATAGCCTAGCTATTGTGAGGCTCTAAACCTAACTTAAGTCAATACTCCAGTCATAATTTACTCAGGTTAATTTTGATTAATTAAAACAATATAGTTCTAAAATTCTTCTTAAAATTAAACAAAATCTTAACTAAATCAACCGTGCTATTCAGTGATTTTGGAGGCACAACGTACGCTGTCAAGAGTTTGCGATGGCCTCCAAGCATCCTCTTTTTCACACCAAAAGAGTTATTTTTTGGAAACTTCCAAGACCAAGCCCGAGTTACTATAACTCAGGTGATGTATTAAGCAAAGCAACACAGACACATCTCTTAATTACCATGTTAATATATTATAAGCTAGTGGTAATGTCTTAGGCTTCTGTAGAAGAATGTATAGCCCATCATCCCATTAATTATAATAAGTTCAACTAACATACATATCTAATCATATATCAGGATAGACCTTGACAAAGTGGAGGCTGAATTGGAAGTGCCCACATGACTCACCCTCACCGCTAGGGTGAGATATGAAACAAGTTCGCCGGGACAGCTTGCTTTAGATTTGAACAGGGGAGGAACCATTCCGATAACATTCTCCTCCACCAGGTGGGAAAACGTCCATTTAGTTGCAAGGGGGCTTTACTTAGCTGAAGAAGTTTTATCAAGCATGGATACCCTCTGTGATGGGGGCATTGATGCCTTGGATGTTGACGCTGTTGAGAAGCTTCATTCCCTCCTCACTCATCTGCTGAACTTCTGAAGGTGACAGAATCCTAATGCAGCGAACACAGCCAACGAATTCCCTGCTCAAGCACATCAAATTTAGGCCTAGAAATAGAAAGGACTTCTTTGCTATCTACATTCACAATATATAACCACAAGCAAGCCAGCAAGACATTGGAAAGGGCAAATTGACACTTACTCCCAAGGATCATCACCTATGAGTAGAACATCATTCTCGTAGTCCACATATACTAATTTCCACCCAGAACCTTTAGGGTTATTTAGCAGCCCATCAAGTCCAAACATGCATTCAATAGCGGAGCATAGTTCTTCGTAATTTTTGAAACTTGAGACATCAATTGATCTCCCAACAGACCCTGTCTTCTGAACCTGTAAACCATAAACAATGTTAGCACCCAACATTCGAGTTAATGAAATGTAATAAAATCATGGGAAAAAAACATCCAAATGCCCTCAATCTCACTCACAAACATGCAGACTACAAACCTGGACAAAGGTAAGCATTAAGGTATGATTTTACTAGATAAAGTCTTCCATTTTGGAATAATTATGCTAATAATCTGATGCATGTGACCCAAGCAGATTGTTGCCAAAGATCTTTTATTTACAACACAATCATGCATACCTTGGTATATGTGCGCACACGTGGGGCTACTTGCTGCCATGAATTATTCTGGAGCAGATTGCTATTATCAAATTCAATGTTGCTTGAAGATGTGCCACCTGAATTGTCAGGAAAGTCTTGCCGTGAGAGAGCTTGGGAATCTGCTAGGCTTGCTGAGGTAATCTGAGACTGAACATCCTGGCTTGAGCTGAGGTTGCCAACTAGACAATCTGAAGCATTCTGCAAATCAGCATCTTTTAATGTGCAGAACTCATCTAGAATAGCACTTGAGACCGACCGATCATACATAGAACCACCACCATTGCTAGCGTCAATGTTAAGAGAACCATAAATTCCACTTTGATCATTGCTCTCGTCAGATGAATCCTTCACTGCACCTGAGTTGAAGCTACATGGCTCTTGCTGAGCCAAAGGAATCAATTGGTTTGCTTCGGATAAAATTCTCAAATTGCTCAGCTGATGATCCCACGCATCTTGATGCATGAAAGGTAAAGAGGGATTAGCTGCTTCAGGGGACACCGCTGACGGATCTTGTAATCCAAACATGGACAACTGTCCTGATCTATACATACTGTCAATAGACATTGGATGTGATATCCATTCGCCTGCGTCTAGAAATGGAAGAGAGCAGTTTGGTGTAGTGGCATCAGCTAGAGATGCACGGATCTGTTGGGAATTAAGTAGCGATGACTCTGTAAGTGCCTGCATAGGCCAGAGGCTGGCTTGTAATTGTGACTGGCCCTGATTCTGATTTTGGCACACCAGATGATTTGTGGCATCCTGCTGAGTCATAGGACACGAGATTGGTTTTTGCACAATGCACTCTCCTGTTAAGGTTGCCTGGCTTAACTGATCTGGCAAATGCTCAGGTTTTGCTTTGAATTTCCCATCAACAATTCCAACCGAAGCTTGATTTTCAACTTTGCTCAAAGAAAGTGACTTCCCAGCTACATTTGCTTTTGATGAAGATGAGTTCATGGCATTGGATTGGTCTAGACAGATCCGGGAATAGTTTTGGTTTTCTATGGGGGTAATTCCTGACTGGTTTAGCTGAGGCGTCTGATTAGTTGCTGCCTGCATGTTCTTAACATCTAATGAAGCCACCTTCACAGCAGATACTTCTGGTAGTGCAGTTCCACAGATTCCAGGATAGTTAGCTTGAGGTTTCATTAGCATGTTAATCAGTTGTTCAGAATATATGTTTGACATTGAAGCATATGGAAGACTTGCATTTCCACTCCCTGGAAGCAATGCAAGGGGCTTTTTTACCAAACCCCCCCATTCAGTATCTCCTGGAAGGACAAACAGCATAAAATGAATTTTCAACAAATTTTCCTAACCGGGGGATAAAAAAAAACCTAGCAAAATGCTCACCTAAAAATCCAGACTGCAAGGGTCGTTTGAGACCTGAAGTCAGAGAAGGAAAAATAAAGAGACTTTCGGGAGTCTCAATTTCCCATGAACTAACCCTGTTCTGCTTATCAGAATACCCAGGCTCATCCCACTCTACCTGTTTGTAAGACAGATATGAAAATCAATTGCAAATTGCCAAAGCAGAGAAACAATAACATAATACTAACATCACTGCAAAAGAAAATGATTTGGTCAGATCAACAAGTAGCCTAATCTACCTGAAGATTCCGCCACTTGGAACCAGGCCACCTCAGTGGATCTGAGTCACTAATACCAACTATTGTGCCCATATATCTGCGGAATAGATTACAGACAGTTAATAATATACATTAAGACAGATAAATGTTCAGAGCCCTGAGCATGGAATTAAAGCATAGATGACTTTGAACTTCGCAGAAAAAATGGAATGTGCTTCTGTCCTTTTCACGATGCAGAAAACTAAATGGGGTTGGTTAATGAATTAAGCAGTTGATTGAAATTCATTATTGTTATTCTTGCAGGTGCGTTACCTATACCCGCATAATTAAAGATGCAAGAGGACTCAAAGAACTCAGAATATGACCTCCGTTTTCCGGACTCTTCTGTCTCAAACATCATTCCAAATCTCATACCAACTGAGACTTGAGTCCCAAATACTGTTTTCCGGAATTTAATCAATGGAATGACAAAGTCTGAAGGGCATGCCCTGTGAATTGTAGAAAGCAGTAGCCACTAATTAGAGTCAGCAGCCAATATAAAAAGGGCAAAGACATGTAGGATTTGATTGTAAATTTAACAAACCTTGGATTGTAAAAAATGGTGAATGGACTTCGATTGGCAGTAGCATGAGCTGCAGCAGCAAGGACACCAATGTGCATGCTATCAGCAGATAGAACTGATGATGGTAATGTTGTTTGTTGACGGTTTGCATGCCTCACACCCACCATCAAGTGGGACTTTTCATTCCTGACATTACAGAGGATGAGTTGCTTTAAGATCATTATGGTGAGTAGTCAAAATCCATGAAGATTACCCATTACCTATTGTTTAACACAATTTTCTTAACAATTAAATGCGGTCAAATAGCATTGCAGAGCTTCTCAGCACTTGGAATAAAAACCGAAGCTTCTTTTCTATTGAGAATTCATTCAAAAATAAAAATAATGAACTTAGTTTTTTGATTAATTATTGGTTATTTTTGTAAAGCTAACTTAAGAAGACAAGTTTCTGCAGCATCCAAGGAAAATCTGAATTCGAAAGGTATAACTTACCTGATAAACAGAACAGAATCACCTGCTTTAAGCCTTTTTGAACCAACAAATAAGCTCCACCCAGTAGTAAGAAG